AGAGATCGCTCGCGGTACAAGTGTGATTCTGACATCCAACCCTCGCAACCCAACAGGCAAGGTCGTCAAGAACCCCGAGCTGGCCGAGATCCAGAATATCTGCCGTGACCGCGCCACCCTGGTGATGGATGAGTTCTATGGTGGCTACAACTACACCAGTAACTGTGATGGAACGACCATCAGTGCCGCCGAGAATATCGAGGATGTTGACGAAGATGATGTCTTGATTATTGATGGCTTGACTAAGAGATTCAGACTTCCTGGTTGGAGAATTGCGTGGATTGTTGGACCCAAGGTATGTTTCTTATTCCTACCTTCTTGAATGAATTGTAATACTGATGATATCAGGAATTCATTCAAGCCATCGGCTCTTGTGGTTCTTACCTCGATGGAGGAGCTAATGTTCCTTTCCAAGAAGCTGCCATCGCCATGCTCGAGCCCAACAAAGTCCGCACCGAGATGAAAGCACTCCAGACACATTTCAGAGTTCGTCTCCCTCTCCCTTTCCCTCTACGTCTCCCTTGCTCCAGACTGATAACCCCAGGAAAAACGCGACTATGTAGTCCAGCGTCTCCGCGCCATGGGATTCAAAATCTCCACCGTCCCCGACTCCACCTTCTACCTCTGGCTCGACCTCGAAGGTCTCCCCGACCAGATCTCCGACGGCCTGAATTTCTTCCAAGCCTGTCTCGAAGAGCGCGTCATCGTCGTCCCGGGTATCTTCTTCGATCTCAACCCGAGTAAGAGAAGAGATCTGTTCGATAGTCCTTGTCATCACTTCGTGCGCTTCTCGTACGGCCCGAAGATGGAGACGCTTAAGATGGGTCTGGATGGTATTGAGAGGGTGGTTAAGAAGTATGCTACTGTTGGTAAGTTGCTCATGAATGTTTTCTTTGATGTGCTTGCTTAGAAGAGCGGATCTCGGGGATCTCTTGTGGACTTTGAAGAAGCGCTGCCCGCTTCCCGAGTCCGTTTTCCAATTACATACTAACTCTGAGATAGATTCCGACTCGGAATAAGCTCGTCGACCTCGCTCATCTCACTCATCTGATCTAATCCGATCTGATGCAACCATCCGATATCTGATGCCCGGAGAACGATTACCGGATATTAGAAATGCCTCGCACTTTTCCCCTAGAGAGATGCCGCATAGCCAAAATTTGTGACAGAGTGTTGGATTTCCGATTTCTCATTTCGCTAGCCAGCATCACGCACAACTCTCCATAGACTCACTTGATGAATTTACTATGATTTCCACGCCATTTCTCTTCTTCCTTTCACTATTATTCATATCCTCTTCGTCATACTTGAAAACTTGAGAAGCTCGTGAGACCAGCAGGCAGGCAGAGAGGCATCTCTCGCAACATTCATCCATCCATGCCCAAATCCAAAGGTGAGAGAAGGCCAAGGCTCATTTATCCTCATCCCAGCCCATCTCATTCCACTAGCAAGTTATCAAACAAGAGTGTACAGTGCACTTCATAACGCGAATGTGTATTCGGCACATGCCAATTTCTCTGAGAGCGCTTCTCTAGCCTCTCTTCTACCGTTACCGCTCAGTTTTGACGACATATCAACTTTACGATGAGTCCCAGCTGTGGCTTCGTGAGACACCCCACTGCGATCCAATTGGTTTGTGAAGTAATCAACTTGAGGAAAAGAAGTCCACTAAGCCAGAACAAGACATACCGGAATTGCCATCCCCCTCAACCAGCAGTTACTTGCAGGTGGGGGAAAGCAGATGATATGAAGGGCGGGGTATATCAGCCCAACGAAATTCTAATCACGGGAAAGCTTTCTCCGATGGTTTTCCTAAATCAGAAAAGGTTTCTGGGGGAAATGTGTGATTACTGAACCTGTTTCTAGCGTATGAGGGCACTTACTAATAGTAAACAGCAGCCATGACCGGGAGAACTTCTGATGGCTCCGCATCGTCAAGTCTTGAACTGTTGCTGATATATCGTGTTTCAAGATTACTGATATGATGGACACGTATTTCTGAGTAATGTGTTCCAAGAGCCTGATTACAAGCTGGTCCCAAAGCCACGACTTGGACCGTGAGGTATATATTGAGCAGAAGGTGGGTCTGCATATTTCCATTCAAATCTTACACACAGTCCTTCAAAATCTCGATTTGCTACTGCAATCTCCCAATACAAAATGCAAAACGCACTTTTCGTAACGGAAGTGGGAAAGCCGGTCACAGCTGGTACTCGTGAAATCCCATCTCCTGGCCCGAATGAAGTTCTAATAAAGGTCACTGCAACTCAACGTAAGGTCTCCTTTCCTCCATATAACGAAATAGAGCATCACTAATAAAGTTTAGTTCTCCCTCATGATACTTACGGCCGTGACTTTGGACTATTCATCGGACAACATCTGCCATTTGTGCTCGGAAGTAACATCGCCGGGATTGTCTCGAAACTGGGTCCAGACGTAACTCGATATGCCGTTGGGGACCACATCTACGGCCAAGGTGATCCAAAAGCCGTTATACCCAACTCTTCTGGTCTCCAACAGTATGCGATCCTTCGGCTGGATTTGTCGGCTAGAATTCCAGCGGGATTCACGGACGACCAGATGGCCACACTGCCAATCAACGCTGGGACTTCATTCTCGGCCCTCTTTCATCCAGAATGGCTAAATTTTCCACCTCCATTTTCTACCGAAGCGAAGACCTTCGACTATTTCAAACAGAAACTGGTCATTTTAGGTGCCGGAACACAATGTGGTAAACTAGCAATCCAATTCGCCAAGATTGTTGGAATTGGGACAATCATTGCGGTTGCATCGATTGGCAGAGAGGCCGAGTTGAGAGATCTCGGTGCAACACACGTTATTGACCGACATTCAAAGAACGTCGTTGCTGAGGTACAGAAGGCTTCTGGGGGAGTAGAGGAAGTGACTCATGTGTACGACTGCGCTAGCTGGACGTATGAGCTAGCCGCAGACTTGGTGGCCACTGAAAAGCCAAGCAGGATTGCGATATTGCATCACAGCAAAACCGTACAGAGCGACTTGGATAGCAGAGGGAAGAGACTCGCTATTGTGGCAACCGTTGTTGGGAGTCAGGCGAACTTCCATGGTGAGGAAAGCAGGATGTGTTGGGCGAGCTTAGAGTCGTGGGTGCAGGAAGGGAAAGTTAGAATTCCGGAGTATAGAATGATTGAGGGATTGGATGAAGTGAGGGTGAATGAGACTTTGGATAGCTATCGAGATGGCAAACCTGTTGTCCAGGCAATTGTTCATCCGAATGGTGTCGTCGCGAAGTAAATGTGGATTGCGGGGACTTGGCGGGGAGGCCAAGGACATGTCTGTATCAAAATCTGTTTGAGATCGAATTTAACACCAGAGAAGTAAATACGAAATCAAAATGAACACTGTCGTAGTTTGAAATCTCTGTCCTATATTAGTATGAAATTTCCGAGTCCTCAGAGGTGGGATGCACGCATCAAGTCACAAGGGATGGCGTCTAAAGGTAGACTGGAATGGATCTGGTAGATTCAGTGACGTAACCTTTGTAGTAAAACTGCTGCCGATGCATTGCTCAAAGTTTCCATGGAATTCAAGCATTGAATCAAGACGTCTTACATATGCTTGGTAATCCGTCGTCCAGGAAGAGGTTTTGCTCCGGAAATGGACTAGCGTACTATAGCCGAACAAGGCTGTAAGCGAGCCGAGGCTGACCCTGACGAATCTTGACTCAGCGGCCCATAATCAATTGATCCAAGGCTGTGGTTTCTCATCCTTAAGTCATGAAGTTTCCCTAGTACTTTAGAACCTTCCCTTTCCTTCGTCACGGACTCCTATAAATTCTTCAATTGCTCTCAATGAAGGTTCTCTTCCTGTTATTTTCTATCGCAATTGCATTTCTCTCGGTCGCATTCAAAGATTCCATCGTCACAACAATCGACTTCCTCAAGACCGAATACGCGAACATCAACACAACCTCTTTTAAAGGCCTCCCACTTATTCCACCTCGCGCAATCTACGGAGCTCCTAAATCAGCAAATATGACAGTTACACGCGCAATCCGCAAGGCGTTCCTTGCCATCGAGCAGTCTGAGGGTGCTGGAGCCCGCGTCCGTCGCTCGATCGGAACCCCTCAACTACGAAACTTCTCCCCCTTCCTCATGCTCGATCATTTCACTATCAAACCTGGAGCTGGCTTTCCAGATCATCCCCACAGGGGGCAGGAAACTATAACCTACTTGCTAGAAGGCGCAGTGGACCATGAAGACTTCGCAGGAAACGCTGGCACAATCGAGGCTGGAGATCTACAATTCATGACAGCAGGAAAAGGGATAATGCACGCCGAGATGCCCAGACAGAATGCCGATGGCTCTGCAAACATCGGAATGCAATTATGGGTTGATCTGCCAGAGAAGCTGAAGAAATGCGAGCCTCGATATCGCGATTTGAGAGCATCGGAGATCCCAAACATCGACATTGACGACGGAAAGGTGCATATCAAGGTTATATCTGGACAAAGCCACGGTGTAGACAGTGTCAAGGAGCTCGCATACACACCCGTCTGGATTCTGGACGTTGAAATCAAGCCCGGTGGAAAGATTACACAAAACTTGCCCGAAGGATGGAACGCTTTCGCCTATACCTTGAGCGGAAGTACATCTTTTGGAGTCGGCGCCGATAAGACTCTTGTGGGACAGTTCCACAATGTTGTCTTTGAACAGAAAGGAGATGAGATCTATGCTGAAGTTGAGGATGGAGCCAAGGAAAATGGCCGTTTCTGTAAGTCATCAAAGTTCCTCGCTTGCAAATTTGCCCCTCCATCTCAACATTACCCCGCCAAAAGAAGCCCCAAAACAATCAATTCCCAGGAAGTCCACGGCGATGATTGGCAATCTCTGTCTTTGACAAGGTCTCCAAAAGATCCAGCTTCTCGCAGCAAACAAAAGACAGGCCAACTTCAAGTGAAGGGTCTCTCAACACCATACTTCCACTCAACTTCCTGAGGCAAAAGAAATGCAAAAGGTTATTGCGTTCGCCGGGAATCGAACCCGGGGCCCATCGAAACTGATGTATCGTACTCTGATCGCTCAGAGTCGTACTCTATGGCAACGATGGATTTTACCACTAAACCACAAACGCTTGGCATACTGCATATTCTGCACATGCTTCCTATGCTTGTGATGGAAGTTCTTATTTTGCTCCATATTCAGAGCAGGTGCGAAGAGGTTGTGCGATTTTGTTGACCAATGAATCTCTTGGATTCTGTCCGAAGTCGGCCTGGGCAAAAGTCAGCATGGTTCATTTAGCCAGATCTGCATGACTCGGCAAACCTTCCCCTTCTTTATTTTCTACGAATATCAATCTTTTGGAAGTACATTTACTAACAAGTCTTCTCTATAGTCCTAGTCGCCGGTCTTCCCCTCGACCAGAAGGTTGTACAGTATGGGCCTTTCGTACTCAACACACAAGAGGAAGTCTACCAAGCGTTGATGGATTTCCAAACACACTCGAATGGATTCGAACGAGCGAAGGGCTGGCAGAGTGAAATCGGAAAGAGTATGGTATGAGCAGGGAGATTTGTTCACTTGTTTGTAAAGCGTTAGAAAGGATAACAAAGTGTTGTCGCCTCGTCGGCAGGAGAGATGATTCCCAGGAAGAGCGAGCATTGGCTCGGTGCCTAAAGTTTGTAGTTGGTACAGCTTTTATGAATTGACCTTTGTTGAATTACAGTCCGTCGCCTTCCATTTTCCAGTGCTCCAAAGTCGGAAGTTGGCCCTAGTACCTCGTTGCTTTTTTGATCGTGATCCTCCGAGCGCACTTCCTTCGTCTACATTTTCCTATTCCACTTAATTCGTTCACTCCCAGCTCTCATTCCTTTCACTCTAGTTTTACCCCCATACAGCTCAATTGAATCAGGCAAAGCCCAATCCAAAATAAAGCCACAGTTCTCAAACACTCTGTTACTCCCTTGATTTTGGTCCAAGTACGATCCCGTCAAGTGGTGGATGTTTATGTATGGGGCACAAAATTTCTTTATTACAGCTTTCAAGACTGCGATCGTGATACCCCGGCCATGGCACGAAGGGGAGAGATAGACTTTCCATTATCAGTTACTGGCACGTCAGGAATGGAAGTACTCACATCCAATCCCCCATTCAATGTTGGGATCTCCCGTCTCAAGCGCACCATTCGCATCTCTCATCTTCTTTCTCGTCTTGATCCATCTTCATGATAAACCCAGACCTCCGGATGCTGATTTCCCCCAAGAAAGTCTCGTCCCCGGTTTTCTTATCATCCTCCCGAATGGCTGGGAAAGGTATCCCCTTGCTCAGCCATTTCCTCTCTTTCCAACCTTGCTCTTGTGAACCTGCGTTTCTCTCCCTGCCCGCTGCCTTCCATTCTTCAATAGCTTCATTCACAGCTTTTGAGTAAATTGGGAACCATGAATCCCAATCTGCTGGCGTGTATGGAAATGGCAAGCCCAAGAGATTCATGTAAACAGAGGGAGCGTTCTGAATCGCTATTACTTCTGGGCCATCACTGATTCGGGGGGCTGTGAGTATTATCTTTGTGCTTGGACGAGGAACTTGAAGGAAGGATGGGCTGGCACTGCCGATCTCCATTCGTGTGAGTTGTGGCTCAGCGCAAGTTCTGGGTTAGACAGGGTTGGTGACTCCATCTTACAAAACGAAATTTTTCACGATGATTTCAATATGGCGAATCTGCTGCCCAGAGGAGAGTGGGGGAGGGTATACTTCATGCGACTTTGGCTGGCTCAAGACTTCAAGCAATTACTGAACCAGCTCTTCGTCTCCCTACAGTAACTCTTCACGTATTAATGTCTTCTGTATCCAAAAGCCATTTACTGAATCCATCAAAAGTTAGATTTCAGGAATACAGCTTCGGAACAACGGCCCGTGTTTTGTTCGATCATCTGAAGATTCACCCCTCACACGGTTAAACCTCGGTATGTTCGGATTAAAATTCGGCGAAACTCACTAGGAAAATATGAGAAGTCGAATAACGGTCGAAGAGAGAGCGTTAGAAATCTTCTTGGGGGCCTAAAGTCAGCCTAAATTGATCACATGCATCAAAATAATCTTACTTGGTTCGGGGTGCTGTGGACAATCATTGTTGTGATGCCCACTGCGATTTCCATGCACTAAGCGAGGAGCTGCTCGCTACTGGAAAAGGGGCTGCCACCGATCGCTCACTGCGTCGTCCTATGGTCAAAGTAACGTTATCCTACCCGGAAATCCGCGGATTACAAAAGATCGTCACAAGATATCTCGATGCGTGAGCATCTAACTTTAGTGACTTGTGGCACATGGATCAGATTCCCTTGACCGTTTTGTGTTGTCTGTTTTGAAAAACCCGTTAGTTGAACACAGTTGAATTTCAAACTCCATTGTACTTAATCACCGCCAAATAGCTATCTTAACTTGCTCATATCTTCACATGTCTTGATATATTGTGAGTCTATCTTCACCCAGAAGTCAACATCAGCGGAGGCGGGGTGGAAAGGCCAGACCCACAACTAGCAACTAGTTCTCGGGCGAGTCGGGTATCTTAGATCCACAGTTCGGCCGGCATCCCACTCTTTCCTAGACCACGCCACTTGGGGAGTTTATAAAGGTGTGGTGCTCGAAAATAGAACGAAGTCCTCCATAGATGTTGTAATTTGAGAGCGGTCTGACGAGTACCCTGATAACGAACCAAGAAAACAGCAAGAAACCCATTCTCAAACACTTGTACTTTTTACACCTTAACTAAATTTTGATTATCACTTTCGCCATGGCTCCTATTGCACTTTCCAGTCTTTCATCTCCTGCTACAGAGTTTACTCCAATCGTGGAGAAGTCGTAAGTCGCCCTTTGCTGAAATATTGTGCCCCAATATTGATATATCTGAACCAGATTCAAAGCCCAAAACAGCACATGGCTTTCTGATCTACAGAAGAATGGCTATGCAGTTGTTAGGAACGTCATACCCCGCGAGCGTGCTATTGCCTACCAACAAAAAGCCTTCGACTGGATCAGCTCCCTCCGCCCAGGCTTCGATGTCCACAATCCTGACACATGGGTCAAGGAACACCTCCCAGTCATGAGCAAAATCAATACATTCTCCACCTATGGTGTTACACACGAGAAGTTCATGTGGGATGCTCGCATGGAGACTGGCGTTCTGAAAGTTTTCGAAGAGTTGTGGGGTACAGATGAGCTGCTGGCTAGCTTCGATTCATTGAACGTCACTTTCCCGAACCGAAAGGATGTGCCGAGAAAGCCTACTTGGGAACATGTCGACCAGACTCCCTTGAGGCGAGGACTACAATGCGTGCAAGGCATCATCAATTTGTCCAACGCTGGTCCAGAGGATGGTGGCTTGATGTGCTACCCTGGCTCACACTTGTTAAGTGATGAGTTCTTCGACACACAGACCGACAAGAATACCTGGGAGAGCAAAGACTATTATGGTTTCAGCAAACAGCAACTGGAGTGGTTTCATGCGAAGGGACTCAAGCCATTGAAAGTCTGCGCTGAGCCTGGAGATTTGATTCTCTGGGATAGCAGAACCATTCACTATGGTGCAGAGCCCACGGAGGCGAGCAACACAATTCGTACCGTCATCTACGCTGCATACACGCCCGCCAAGTGGGCAACAAAAGAAGCCCTTGAGGTCAAGGCTGATATCTTCAAGAGCTTTCTTGGAACTACGCATTGGCCGCATGAAAACTTTGTGAAGAGGAACGCGGGTAGTATGTTGGCGGATGGCACGAGAGATCCAAAGGATAGGGAGCAGCCATTTGAGTTGCCTGAGATGACACCCGCTTTGTTGAAGCTTGCTGGTGCTGAGGCTTACTAGGAACTTATTAGGAAGTAGAAATTTCATTAAGCACTCAACTTGAGATACCAAACGTGACCGACCACATCTGAATATCCGATGTAAATTTCCCACGAAAAACGCCTGGCTGATAACAGTACATTAACTTCGATGCTGCTGGTGGGGAAACGATTTGAGGGCGATTTGGTGGGCCCCGGATTTCGACGCAACTCGTTGCAACCGAAGAAAGATGAAGTAATTAAACAAAAAGTCACAGCGTCGAACTCTTATTGGTATCCTAGCTGCCATCCCAGTCACATCACGAGTATAGCGTGCAATGAAACTAGTCATGTTCACAATGCCCTTTGGTTGAAATTTTCCCTTTTGATATCGTTGTTTAAGGATTGTGTTACGAAACTGTTGTTGTTCAGATGGTGGCAACATCCAGTAAGCGAGTTCGTTTAAGGAAGGGGTGGCGATGAACAGCAGGCCATTCCTTTGCACATTTACTAGCTTTGGTCACAAGGCCGCATGATTGGGTTCGCGGATATCCTGAATGTCTCCAAATCGATACCGTACCTGTGGTACTGGGTTTGTTTAGATGGTTCCATGGGATATTTATTGGCATATCAAGGAACTGAACCCATAAGCTTTGGCACCTTTGGCGAAGTAAGCCCAGAACTAGCCTCGTTGAGCTTGCGTCTCCACCCTTCTGGGAAAACGAAAATTGAAACTAATAGAAAATTGGTTCATAGAGGGGTTGATCCTGTACCTGTAGGCGAGAACAATTCAGATACTTTACAACTTTGACGGTGCAGTATTATCCATCTGAGGATGCTCTCCAAACTGAGCCGTCTCTCCAATCTGCACACCCATCTTCTGAACCCAAGCCGATCACTTCAAAACTTTCATTTCCCACTCTCCCAGGCTCATCTCTCCACTTACAAACACCTTATTCAGCATCAAAGCATGCATAGCAGCCTGCGCCGTACCAGCCGTAGTATGCGGCCTCAGCCCCGCCAGCGCACCACCTCCCAACAACACCTCTCTATTCATGAACACAGCTTCCGAAGTAATGTTGTCAGTGATAGCTTGTATGAACGGCTGCTCGACTTTCTGGAACACTTCGGATAGTGGAGGAGTAAGGACTGAGGACGCGATGGAGCCTTGGCGTGAGCGGATTTCCGGACATATCTTACCAATGCCTATGGAGAAATGTTGAACTTTCCCGAAAGCGGAGGTGAGAATTTCTTGGAGTTCCGAGGGGGCGTAATTGCTGTACCAGACGATGTTCATAAAGCGTTCTCTGTCCTTGGTGG